AGAGGATGGTGCCCGGCTATTAAAAGATACAGTGTCTGGGGTGTAAAAGGCTTGAAGTTAAACAAGAGGCCATCCCACAGTGAAGCACCAAGCCCACATGGAAGAAGCACACCAGCCGGTGAGATCATGAGGTGTCATGGAGACTGGGCAACGGGCATCAGAAGACTCACAACAAACAGTAAACAAAGAAATGCATTGGTGAGAATGGAGGGGAGTTGGAGTGCAGACCCAAAGCCCATCTGTGGACAATGGAACATCCCCCCCACAGAGGGGTTGCAGGGAGGGGTTGAGTCAATCAGGGTGCAGTAGCATTAATGGGTCTTGCACTATACCTCTGATCCCCCCATCAAGACTAGATGGGAGCATGTATGTAGGTATAGGCAAAAGATAAAACTCACAACACATGGCACTCAGGAACAGGGATGGGAATAGAGATACCAAAAGGGTAGGGGGAAGAGGGTTAGAGGTGGAGATGGAGGAGGCCACCTATCGCAATGAATGGCACATAACCACACCCCCATCCAGGGGGAAGAACAACAGAAACCAGAGGGGAAGGGAGACAGGGGTCAGTGTGAGATTTGAAAGTAATTAACAATCTACAATCTATCAAGGGGCCACGAAGGGTAGGGGACAGGGAGGAGGGAGGGGGAAACAGAGGAGCTGATCCCAAGGGCTCAATGGAAAGTACATGTCTAGAAAAGAACGATGGGATATCTGTATAAATATGTCGGATACGATTGATGTATGGATCGTAATAAGAGTTGTAAGAGCCCTCAATAAAATGATTATATAAGAAAGCACTGTACCCTAAAGATATTGAACTAGCTTTTTCATATGGATTTTACAAATCTTTTAACGATTCCAGTTAAATTTAAATCTCCTGTAATCCTTGTTTAATAGATTTGACTGAACACAGGTTAGTTAAAAGTACAATTTGCAATGTACTCTTAATATCTCGTAATATACCATTCCAACTTAAATCATTGGTATCAAACCACTTTTAAATTAAACCTGAATTCTTTTTAGGATCAATCCCTCATTTCCGTAAGAACCAAAGCTGTCTTGCTAAAGGCTGAGCGTGCACCAGGCGTCTTCTGTTCCACTCCCTTTGTGTAGGACTTACCCTGCATGTCGTGTAGTAACTAATGCCAAAGAAAAATCAAAATAGAAATTATTAGCGTGTGCCGTCATGCCGCGGCATAGCCCTGCCTAAAGATCAGGAAATCGTTTAACTATCGGATTGCCAGCGGGCATCTCAGCCCGGGCCTGTGTGCCGGGACGTCAGGGGTCCTGGCTGGGAGGGCGTGATCAAGGAGCCCCCCCGGGCCCCCCCGGAGCTGCAGCTCGCTTGGAAAGCCAGGAACTCCCTCGCAGCCGGTTCGGGGCTGCCACTGCCTGCGCCCAGCAGCCCGCCCGACCCGGCCCCGGGTGGCCCCGAGCCGGGGCGCAGCCGGAGCGAGCAGGACCCCGCAGCGCCCAGGGCGCTGGCAGCGGTCCCGCCCGTGGCCTTGACCCGCGGCCCCCGGCCCCGCCCGCGCCTCGGAGCGCGCGGAGAGCGACCGCGCTCCTGCCCTAGCAGGAAGTGAGGCCGAGCCCGCGGAGGTGCAGGAGCTCCCGGACAGCGCCGAGCCCCCGCTGCCTTGCTCGGCCGCCCGGGGAAGCCCGACGTTCCCTGCGGGGGGCACCGGCCGCTCGTGCGCCCCCGGTCGCCAGCGAGCGGTGGCCTGTCCGCCCGCCCCCATGGCTTCTCCAGACGACCTTGCACCCGCAGGTAAGGTCGCACCACGCCCTCCCCGGGAGCGGGGGCAGGAGGGGCCACAGCGCGGCGGATGGGGGGGCAGGGGGCCAAAACTCGGGGGATCTTCGGGGACCCCAAGACTAGCGGGGCCCCCGCCGCTCGCCCTGGGACGTGCGAGCAGACCCGGGGCTCGGAGCTGCAGAGGGTGACCGCCCCGCGCCGCCCGCGGCCGCTGCCCTCCTCCTACCACGCGGGCCCCGGTCGCTTTTGTTTCAGACTGGGGGTGCCAGGTTCAAACAAGTCCAGCAAACCGCCGTGGGAGCTGGATTTCACGTTTGCCTTCCTGGATTTCATGTGGGCCCTTTCTCCCGGTTCGCATGCCTTCTTCTCCTCCATCCTCTGCCTCCCTGTTCACTTTTTATTTAGTAGCTCTGTTTTTCCCTTGGGCCTCTTTTTAAAACTAGTACCCATAGAACCCAGAGGCGGGCTTCACTTGTGGGGGGAATCCCACCTGGGGCTGTGGTTGATGAGAACGGCCTGGATAGTTCCTGCTCCTCGTGATAAGTATTGTGGATTTGTACCTGAGACTGGATTCTAGGTTTTTCTTCGATCTCTGGTCTGAATTTACAACCCTCCTCATACCCCCTACCCCCACTCTCTCCACGCCTAGACCTCACACTCAGTAAATGTTGAGCACCCTGATGAATTCATTAATAATACATCCCCAGAGGCTTTTTTCTAACTTTGTCGAGGTTGCAAACGCAAGGGAGAACTATACAGCCATACTCGTGGGAGCTTCAAAAAGTTCAAGGAAAACGCCCATCATCTTTCACCCCACCTTCTCACAAGCTTGTGCAATCTGCCTTGTATCTGCTGAGTTTGGCGTGTTTTCTCTTTCATATCTTGGCATTGGACAGAGCTTGAATGTGTGGTTTGAGCAGTTAGGAAAGGACTTTGGGGCTGGAGGTGGCTTACAGACAGAATCAGTCAGCTCATTGGTCTTGTGAACATTTTACCAGCTGGAGAGGGAAAGGAAATGCCCGGATATGGGATTCTCTGCACTCTTCCCTTTGTCTGGAAAAGCATAAAGGAAAATACAGGAAGAGATTCTTCTCTCTTCTGCACCCCCCTCATACCCCCCTCCCCACCTCCCATCCATCTCCCTCTTCTGAGAACCTAGTTAACAAGGTGCCAAGAAATAGTCGGCCAGGTTTCAAGTACAGTGATCTCAGATTTCATTAACTGATGGTGTTGGTGGGAGGCAACAAGATTTCAATAGGGCTGCACTGAATGGGGGTGGGGGGTGGCGATGTAAAATCCTCTGCTTGGGTTCCTTCCGATCCACTGCCATCGGAGAAGATGCGCGTGGGGAGACACAGCTCGGCAGCGACTCAGTATATCAAACACCTTTATGAGTCGTTCATCTGATGCCTTAAGATGTTGTTAGCTTGAGGCACAACAAAAAGAAACTCAGTTCAGCCCTGTGCCAACCCCACGGCGGCTTGCGGATTGAACTCTTGTGGTCCAGAGGGTTTTTATGGGCTAATTTTTAGAAGTAGTTAACCAGGCTTTTCTACCTAGTCTGTGTCTCTCTATAAAGTCTACGGAAACCTATTTAGCCTCACGGCAAAGAGGATTCCAGGAACAGAGAGGTGGTGGTCATGCACGGGGCGCATTGGCCAGCCATTTAACCCGGATCTCCCACGGGGAAGTCTGTCCTTGAACCACCTTACGGTCCCTTAGTCCTCCCTTTTTGCCTTTCCCCTCCCCGACTCATAGCACCCCACAGGGCAAAGTAGAACTGCCCCGCGTGGGTTTCCGAGGCTGTAAATCTTTACTGGGGCCGAAAGACCTATCTTCTTTCTGAACATGTACTTAGCTGCCCAACTATGCCACCAGGCCTCCTTATGAAGTGCTCAAAGGGGCCAGTAGATTCTCAGAGGGCAGGGATAGAGTGACAGGCTGTTGGATTCAGGTAATGGTACTCTGCCCAGCCAAATGACGTACATGCTCTGGGACACCTGGGCAAACTGCGACAAAGGGACTAACGAATCCCAACACGTGCAATAATGGACAGAACAGAGGTGAACCAATACGCAGTGCCCCATGGAAGGAATCTGTTGCTTGCCTTTTAAGAGAGGGAACCCATAAACCAGTAGGCTCAATTTCTAGGGAAAGAGGAATTGGGGCTTCACACCATGAGGAGGTTGTAATCTCCTGTCACTGGGCTGAGCTGCTAAAGGACAAATTCAGGTATCTGAAAGATGACCCTCAAGTTCACTGCCACTCTGGGATTCTATCAATACGAGATGCTAGCACAACCACAATCACCCCACCCCACCCCACTACCCTTCACGAAAACAAACAACCCCCAAACCTTACGCTGTCATCTGATTTCATTGCGACCGACAGCAGAAATACCTATACCTTCCATGCCTATAACAAAACCACGAAGGGTGCCAATGTGTAGAACATGTACAGTGGAGTTGTTTTCCACCTCAGACCCCCTACTCTTCTAATTTACACTCACTGCCGCTTAGTGTTTTCACACTTACACCTTGCCTTCTGCTAAGGTGGCCAAAGCGACCTTTTCAAAAAAGAAAAAATTGTGATTAAAAGGCATACTGGGGAGTTTGTAATGTTGATGCTTTTGACAAGTCGCGATGGTTCATTGCTTTACATACTGGACTACCATCACCGCTATATATTTGCAAGAGCTTTTCATTGCCCCCACAGAAGCTCAGGACCCATAAGTCATCACTCCCATTCCCTTCTCCCGTAACCCCTGGTAGACACTAATAAACTTGTGTCTCAATGCATTTTTCTGTGCTGTATGCTTCCTAAGTGGGATCATACAATATTTGTCCTTTTATATCTGTTTTATTCTCCTCGACCTCATGTTTTAAAAGTTAAGCATGTTATATCAGATAGGAGAGCTTTCTCTCTTTTATATGGCTGAATAATACTCCATTGTAAGTATGTACCATATTTTTATTTATTCATTCCTTTCATGGTGGACACTTGCGTTGGCTCTATCTTTTTGGTCAGGTGAGGTCAGGTGAGAAAGGTGTGCAAGGCAAGAGAGGCATGCTGTTTTCTGCTTGAGTGGCAAAACCAGTCCTCCATCTGCCGCAAATCAGGCCTTTTTCGCTGCGCACTGTTATGCATTCTTTCCAGAACGGCTAAATAGAAAGCTTGATGAACAGTCTGACCTGGCAGAACGAACTCCAAATGCACTACTCCCCTCACATTAAAAAAACAACAACCAACAAACGAGCATCGTCTTGATCTTTGTTTGCATGAGCTTTTGGGGGGTGAGGTGACAATGGCATCTTCCATTGGCTTGATTGATGTTTGCTTTGGGATTGTAAGAATAGCATCTTGTCTTGTCACCGGTAATGACCTTGGTAAAAGGTCTGGGTCGCTTTGGAGCTGTTCTTTCAAAGCACAGCATGTGTCCACTTGACACTCTTTTTGCTGGCCAGTCAGAACCCAGGCACAACTTTTGCTGGGACCCTTCTCCTTCCCAAATCTTCCTTTAAAATTTGCTGACCCAAGTTCCAAGATAATTCAGATAACTTCCCTTCAGTAGTTTTTTCAATAGTTTTTTTTTAGTTTTTGAGCACATGTCTGAATTTTGTCGACATTTTTGTCTGTTAGGGAAGTTGACGGATGTCCAGACTGAAGTTTGTCATCAATCAACATATCACCCTTTTTGAAATGAGAACACTTGTACACTTGAGTTTTTCCAATAGCACTGTACTTGTAAGCTGTGTTCAACATCACAACAGTTTCTACAGCCTTTTTCCCAAGCAGGAAACAAAATTTCACAGCCACACACTACTCTCTTTAATCGGCCATTACAAAAAACGAGGTTCAGCAGAACTGCTTTTACATAAAAATTCACTGTAGCCAGAGAACCTTCCCAGGCAATGCCACTGCATGCACTAACTCAGGGCCAGTTACTTGCCTGGCCCTGTATAGAGCCATATATTTTCATATATATACTTCATATATATATATATATGTATATATAAAAACAAATTAACTTTAAAATTAGTTACAGGGCCATATACTTATATATATATGTGTGTGTGTGTATATATATAACAAATTAACTCTAAAATTAGTAGTTCAATTACTAATCACCTTTAATTCCTGTCTAGAAAGCACTTTGAGTTTCCTCAAAGTGGCCCTATAGGACAGAGTAGATCTGCCTCTGTGGGTTTTCAGGACTAGTCTTTACAGAAGTGAAAAGCCTCATCTTTCTCTGCAGGAATGGCTGGTGGTTTCGAACTGCTGGCCCTGCAGTAAGAAACCCAATGGTAATCTATGACACCAGGGCTCCCTTTCGGGCTCCTGGTGCCTGGAGAAACTGTGAGGCCCTGGCATGCTTCCCTCTTTAGTTTCTCAGAAAAGGCATCACTAGAGGTGATGGCCGTGCTTCCATTGCTCTGGAGTAGCTCTGGCATCACGGAGACCCAGGCATGTCAGAGTAGAACTGGGCCGCACATGCTTTGTACAGTTGTGAGCTTTTGGAAGCAGACTGCCAGGCTCCTCTTCCGTAGCACCACGGGGTCAATGAGAACCACCAGTCTTCCCGTCCGTGAGTAGTCAAGCCACCGTAAGGAAACCCGTGCTCCACTCAGGCGCTGCTCCCAGGAACTTAAATAACCCAGCTAATGGTTTGAAGTAGAACTGTGCTCCCCAGGATTTTCAGTGGTTTATGTTTTTTTAGAAGCAGAGCGCCAGCTTTTTCTTCTGAGGTGCTTTTGAGTGAATTCAAACTCCCAATATCTTGGCTCATAGCCGAAAGGCCTAACAGTTTTCCCATCATGTAGGGACTCCCTCTCGAAACTGCTGCCTTTTGTCTCTTGAAACACCAGGATCTTGCAAACAGGCCTGGAGCCATCAACATACCTGGGTTTGACAATCACTGATTATTCCTTTTGGGAATATTATTCCTTTGGCACGAGGCTTCCCGCCCCTGTGAGGTCAGACAAGCCTTCTCCTTCAGTGCCTGCACAAGTAGC